ATATTGTTCCTATAATTTTTTGCGACAATTTTAATTTCATCACAAAAAAATTCATAAAAAATGATATTCCAATAAAAATTTTCACCTATATACCAATAATACATGTATTCAATAAACAACTAACACAATTAATACATTTCACATCTTTTGAATTCAGAATACATTTCTTTTTTTCTTTTTGGAAAATGAAAACTTTTATTGATATAAACCAAAATTACAAGAGTCAAAGTAATCAAGGCTTTAACAAAACAGAAAAGCCACAGTTCGCTTTAATCCTTCAAAAAAAAAAATTCCAACAAAATTCTTCTTCATATGTCAAAACTGCCCAGCAACATATGCAACAATCTGCATCAGTCACCAATTCAGAGCTCCAATCATCTCCCAGCACAGTAACATAGCATCACAATAGCACAGCATCACCATAGCTTTGCAACACCATAGTTCAACAACTCATCAATGTAAAATAGCAAAGCAGCACAACAGGAGCATTGCAACACAACATACAACACCTCTCAGCAGCAACTAAGCACTTTACCTCCTCCCAAGAGTCTTCCTCAGCACAGCAGTGCAGTCAGTACAAATAGCAGGATCAGAAACTGCTACAACTTAAGAAAATTAACCACCATCATCAAATACCAAGCCAGTCTTGGTTCCTCCTTTCAAGACAAATTTCTTCCCTAATGTTGGCAATAAGGATTGATCCTGTTGTAATAACAGCCTTCCAGCAATTGGTAACACCCCAGAAGCAGAAAAATCAAAGTTGCATCTGGACTTTACAACACAAGAGGCAAGAAAATCAGCAATCATATTAGCTTCTATGTAAATGTGTATTATCCTACATTCAAACTGCCCATGATAAACAAAATTTGATTCAAAAGCCCCTTATATCTCCATGGAACCCCAGCATTCCCCAACACCATCTCAACCAACACTTTTGAATCAGATTCAATGAGAATTTGCTTCATTTCTAAGCCATACTGCACCACCAGTTTCAAACCATCCAACAAAGCTCTACATATTTGTGTGTGTGTTAGTGCCAAGATCATAAAATGCAGCAGTAGCCAAAATGACATGGCCTGCATGATCTCTTAGAACCATTCCCCCACCTGATAAGCCACTCAAAGTATATTTGGGTCAAATGGAAGCCATGTCCTTTTTAACGGAACCACTTACTTAACAATTCAATTAACTTTAAATACAAGCCACAGGAAAGTAAACATGACTTCACAAAGTACCTGAGACTTGAGAATCTCACGTTCATTCTCTATTGCATCTGAAGAAACAAGGTCCTTTGACATAAATAAAGGCTTTGCTGCCACAACATGCATTGCCAATTCTGATCCAACACGCTGGAGGGCATCCAATGAAGCATTCTGATCTTCTACCTCAAGGGATAAAATAGCAGCAACACGTCCCACGCCTGAAATAACGAAAACACAACTAAGAGGCATTTGCTGATTCAAGATGCTATATTAAGAACGTGTTCCTAATGTATTAAATAAAACATTTCCAACAAACACACATGTATAAATAGATGCACAGATATATGCATGTCTGAGAGAATATGTTGCATGCTCTAATATACTTTGATAACACAACAAAGTTAGACTTTATCTTGAGATCAATTAATAAATCTACGCCATACAGACTGTATGTCAGACATCTTCTTTTGAGCATCATCATAAGCAGCATGGGTAGCTTCATGCTGAAAAAGTCCACAAATAGAATAATGCACAGCTATGACATCTAGCTCTACATAAAAATCAAATAGTGAAAGTTTCCATGAAACAGAAAATAGCAGAGCCCATATGTTATCTAGATCGATCAACCATTTGTTGATCATTAACAAATTACTCTTGACGAGACTCAATCAAATGCCAACTCACTTCCTCATTCAAAAATTTCTTTCAGTAGACATAACTTCAAGTTTTCCATTGTGCTCAATCAATTGTTTTTCCCAAGGTTCTAGTTCAGCATGAACCTTTTCTAGCTCACCACAGAACATCTCAGTTTCAACTATTTCTCAACTGAATAAAACAAAGGGACAACATTAATTCTCCTCAGAGAGCAAACATATTTATCACACCCCTAATCCAGCAGCATGTGAAATGAAGTTCATAGCAGCTTTGATACTTGTATCTTAATTGTTTACACTGAAGAAAATACCTTTGGAGTTCTCCTTAATTTCCTCTAAGACTTTCTCTTCATCAAGAAAGAGTTTTTGCAATTTGGGAATGTCTTCCTCTAGTTGGGGTATGAGATTTGTTGACTTCTCACACTCCTTTCGAATCTCAGTAATCTTTATTGAATCCTACAATGGAACCCAAGGTAAGATACATGCATTAGTTTCAATACAAGTGGAGACCAATTGTTCCCACACCTTGTCAACTTTCTCATCAAGTTTCTTGATCTTTTGCTTCATGTGCTTTAAATCTAGATTTTAAATTACCATGTCCTTGGGATATATGACTTCTATTATAGTTCAACAGTCAATATTCTTGCTATATATTTCAACATGATGAATTTTGTAGCAGAAATACAACCTTGAAAATATTAAAAGCATATTGCAACTATGCAATATATAAGTGTTCATACACCAGACTCACCCCATTGTCCATGTTGTATTCAATGTACAAATAGGATAATAATGTGGTATACTTTCGAAGTGGCAAATGTCATTTTGGGAAAGACTAACAAATATAACTTCCTATGTATGCAAGAGCGTGCTTTATATATATGTTAGACAGTTAATAGATGTTAATATCTAAATTTTGTTTTGCATTTGTGCTTCTTCTAAGTTCCTTGTTGTTGGCCTTGGTAGTTCTTATTCTGCCCATAGACATAGTCAATTGCTTCATTACTCCTCTTCCTTGACAGCATTTCATAATATATGAGCCCACTTTACTTGGGCACTTAAAGCTTCATCTTAATTTGTTAACAACTTTAACTGACTAAGCTTTCCTACTAAAACATCAGGTTAGGTGGTCAGTTCGTTCGTATGCTGGCCTATAATAATTGCTGAAATCTAATTCATTACATCTGTGTGTGTCTCTGCGTAAATAGACAAATGTAAGACATTTAGGAGATCTTATAGTATAAATTTGGATGTCCATTGGTGCTTGTAAGTTCCTTTTGGTTGGCCTTGGCAATTCTTATTATGCCCGTATAAGTAGCCAATTGCTTTATCAATCCTCTTCCTTGAAGGTTTTCATAATATGTTAACGTACTTTACTTCTGCCATTAAAACCAGTGTTATTTATGGCATAAGATGCACCAAAGCATTAATATCTCCTGGGGTAGCACAAGGCACAAAGCGAATCGGGGGCTTTATCGAAGCAAAGCACACTTTGTAAATTACATGCGTATTTAGACAAAAAAAATTACAAGTCACAACCAAAGAAGCCCAAGAATATTAAAAATAACATAAGCAGTTGATAAATAATGAAGCATCCAAGTTCAAACTTTTTAAATCCAAAACAGTCAAATTCATTAGAAGCACAAACACCCAAAGTCATGACAAAAACAAATTAAACAATTCACAATTAAACAGCACAAGACATGTATTGAATTAATCAATTAAGCAATCAGAATATGCATATACGAAAAATAGAGGAAATTCAAAAGGATGTTTCAACTCTTAGTAATGGTGCACAAGAATGAAACTGAAATGAAAGATCACATAAAACCAAGGCAGAGTTCTTTAAAACATGCTTTGATAAATATGCCAAAGAGATCTTTAAAACATTGAAACATGAACAAAATTTCAAGATATATATGTTCTTGGAACATTGTTTTAAATAATAGTCTCCTAACCATGACATTTTTTAAGATATATATGGTCTTGTGCAATGTCATTGATCCTTTTAATTACGAAGTTACAGTACAACAACAAAAATACACGTGCATACAGCTTTGTGTTGACAAATTCCTAAAAAGAGCAGCCAACATTTGATAGCATACAATTAGAAACTTCTAAATCAGCATTTTCAATATGATATTATGATTATCAAGCACTGCAATCCAAATATTCCCAGTAACATTCAATGCAAAATTTGCTCAGCCCCAAACCAACTAATAATTTAAAACGAAATGAACATAAAATATAAACACTACACTTCTTGTCTGGACCGTAGAAATCCATAGCGATCAGTATTTTTCACATTCTCAATCTCATCAACAATAGACATATATTTTCAATTCAATCTCCTTTCATGAATCTTTTGCAGCTAGTTACAGACTTTATGTCGTAGAATAAAGTGATTTCTTTGAGTTTCAAAGACATGTCAGAGGCAAGGTTTTGTCAAGAGAGCCATTGTGATGCATAAAAATATGCCTTGCAACCTTTTAACAAGATAAAATCCATTGAACACAATAAATTTCAAACAAGATTCAAATAATAGTTAGAGAACTCAAGTAAAAAAACCTATATATACACATTCCACTTCAAAGGAGAAAAGATAGCATAATCCTTCATAAACTCGTTTTGTACCTACAAGAACTAGGAAATCCGCCTAAGCAATGTTACAATGATACATGGGGAAACAAAGGGAAGTTTAGAGAAGGGCACTGACCATAATACTCCCTATGGGGAGGTTTCATAGACTTAGCAGAATTTTTAAGAAGAAGACATTGAGCCATGGTATTATTAGAAGTTTGGCTTTGACCATTTATTGGCAATTGTGGAAGGAAAGATGTCGAAGGATTTCATGGGAGGGTAAGCTAATTTCACAAGACCCAATTAATCTGCACAAGCATAGAGAATTGTGAAATGGTCATTCGTTAATTTAAGTCAATGGTCATTTGTTAGCCACAAATTTACATGATGAAGACACCCTTTCATAAATAAATAGGAAGCATACAGACCTGTTGCAAGTAGTATTTGTCATATGACCAACTAACAGGAGGCATTTCTAGAGATTGGTATCCATATCTACTGGTAAACCTCTTTGGCAACCTTTTGACAATTCGAACTTCCTCTCTTAGTGAATCAATGAAGTGTCTCACATCAAAAATGTCCTCAAAGTTGTTGCACATGGATTACCACAAGTTGGTTTGAATAAGTGAATACTTAACAATAATTAACAAGTTGGTTTGAATAAGTGAATAAATTTCAAACAAGTTGGCTGAAAGAAAGTCACTACTTAACAATAATTATACCTAGGATCAGCCCAGAAGGATCTCTTATCTAGCTCTGGAATAACCAAAGTAAGATTTAAAAGCCGAGCAACTATGACCATGTAACAAATCTGAAAAGCCAAATAGGCTACGTCAACGTAAATATAAGAAAACCTCACAAAAGAGAGCAAACTTTGAACAAGTTTGAAAAAGAGCATGCAGACTTTTCACAACAAATATCAAGGACTTCCATTAGGTAAACTTTTACTTCAAATAAAGTTGTTCACAACATCTAAAATAGTTTATGCAGCTAATCCAAGAGCAGTAGCTGGCAGTCCTTTAATCTATCTCTTGTCTGTTATTATATAGATATGTAGTTAAATTAAAGCAAGATTTCTCTGCTGATTGCATGAGATTGCTTACCACAGGATCTGGGGCATCGTCCTCCTTGCACATAAGCCATGGGACCTCAGTATCCAATTCAGCACCCATTTTTGTAGCCCAAGTCATGTAGGCATAACCACCTGCAACGTATGCCTTGCTTTCTAGCCCATACTCATTCTCAATCTTCACAAATATAAATTTACATATTATAGCAATTTTGGATCGAAATTGTAAACTTCTAACTTGCATGAATATGAATGTGTTTCAGTTTTTCTACCTTTTATGTTAATGGAAATAGAACTATTAACATAGTCAGCAATAACTTTTTGGTGTTGAAAACCTTAATGATGGTTCATGGCATAAATACACCAAAGATATTAGCAAATACCCTAAAGCTGTACGAGGGAGAGGATGATAGGGCCACCTTGAGACTCGAATAACTTTTCATTCTTCATCATTTGGACAATTTGTTTTGGTGAACCCCTGCATTGCCATCTGCAACACCAACAATTAACTGAAAAAATCATGGAAAAATTTATAGAAAAGTTTCTGCAAATTAGTATGTCAAGGCTTTATCAAAAACATATATCTTGTTGGCTTCACAATGTCCATCGCACACACACACACACAGTGAGTGAGAGGGAGAGACCTTGAAAGGTTCATTATCTGTTCTAAAGCCGATGCCAGGCACATACTTCAACCAAAAAGGAAATCCCTTAGAATAAAAACATTCAACACCAGAAATTAAAGAGATTAAAATTCCCCTTCTCAAATCAGGGTCCAAAATTATTCTTACCCAAAATTCCACTTGGCACAAATAAAAGGCCCAATGTGAAGATTCACATATAGTCCTGCTTTCTGAACTAAACCAAGTCATATCTTCCCTCGAAGTTATACTAAAAACCCACAAAGTAAGACTCATTTATTAACATAACAGGAGACAAGGGTGTCGAAGAACTGCTAAAGATGAAAGTATTTAGTTTGTGTACATAATGAAATGAAAATAGAATACCAAAAGGGTATCGAAGAACTGCTATAGCCCACTTCTGAAAAGCACTTGTTCCCATACATGCATTAGTTTCAATACAAATGGAGAACAATTGTTCCCATACCTTGTCATCTATCTCATCGAGTTTCTTGATCTTTTACTTCATGTGCTTTAAATCTTCACAGTATTTAACATCCTGTCTTTCAAACTCCTTCAAACAATTCAACACTTACACTATATAGCCAAACAATTGACACTTAACATAAAAAACCACTTAAAAGGCAAACCCCTCAAATCACATATTAAAACAACAATCACACATCAAAACAAGATGGAATCATACAATATTTAAATACATAACAAAAAGATAATTCGTCAGCAACTTTAATGCAAAAGTCCATAATTCATCTATTATAAAAAAGAAAAAAAATACATTAATAAATTATCAATCAAATTTTTCAAAAACACTAAAGTGTTGAACTTAAAACGATAGTAAAAAGATAAAAACTAAGACTCGGATGGCATGTCAGCATTAGTTGAGTTGCCCAGTAGAGCACGTTGCAATTGAAGTTTTATCTGCAAAAGTCGTTGCATCATCTGCTGCTGCTCGTCTTCAAACTTCTACTGTGCATCTTCAAACTTCCCTAGCTTCTCTTTTGTTTCTTCACGTTCCTTCTGAAGAGAATTAACAGTTGCTTGCAACTCTTTTATCATATCAGCTTGTTCTTGATATTCAACAGTGCATCTGAATGACTAAGTAGAGGATGAAGGCTTTGGGCCATGTCCAAATCCTTTCTTATATCCAGGTCGGCTACTAAGGACTATGAATGCAATTTCATCCTGTGTCAATGGCTCTACACTTCTAAGTTCTGTGTGGTCAATTCTTTCATCCGTTCTTGTAATTTAATATATTTAAACCCAATTATTGAGTGTATCATAAAAATTTATTTAAAAAAAAGTATTTCTACAATTTGAAATACTTACATATCTTGACTTTGCCTCATCAGAAACCCACTCACCCTTCTTGTTCACATGAGAATCGTGAAAAGAATCAACAATATGGGGTGGCTCATCAGCCTTAAGATCCCTCTGTTACGGTTAATCAAAATATCAATATTCAAATATATGAATTTCCTATATATTAAAATTTAGAAAGCAAATGCTAAAGTATAACACCCTTTCATATAGGGTAGACTGAAAGGACTTTGAACCCATTGAGTGGTTGTATGACAGTTTGGCACGATTTTCTGCATTTTTCTTAGATTTTGCCTATATACAAAGAATATAATTAGTACATAATTGGGAATAAAAAGTGGATATTAATTTGCATAGCTTATAAAAGTTACTTGAAATTTTGGATCCTTGTAAAGTGTATCAATTATGTACTCCTAATCCTCCTGACTCACATCACCATATGGCTTGCTCTTTGGGTCAACACCGGACTCAACCAAATCCTTGTAGTGCATATGCATATAGTATCGATGGTCCCTATACCTCGCAACAAATTGTTTGTCGACGGCATTCCTAACACCAACTTTTTCACGATAGTCTCTAATGTTAAATTTTGTCTACAACAAAATATAAATGTACAAATTAATTACATGTTGTAACACTCTACACAAGTAAATATATTTTGGAAACCAAACAAATATATCCACTAACCAACAAACGTGCAATTAGTGGTGCCTTCTCCTCTTCAGTTATTTGCTTCCATTTGTGGACATTTCTGATAAAGGCAAATGTTCTCGCCAGGGAGCCAATCTCTGTCATCACCTTTGAAGAATGTACACCCACTAGAACACCGACTCCATCAAGAATCAACACATCTAGTGGGCCATGAGCTGCACGAAGACACTCAACATTTTTCCCTCTAGACGGTCCTCAACCTCATTTCTTTGTGGTAAAAGCTCCTGCACAAACAATAATAACAGATGTTAGCCCACCATATTAAGAAAACAATGTTTAGAAAATAAAGTATGCATCAAACCTGTAATGCTAGCCTCAATGCCTATCAGAGGCTGTGCTATAGGTGCATCCGATGACATAGCCCTAACATGTGCACTCGATGATGCCCCCCTAGTAGGTGCATCAGTGGATGCAACCCTACTAGCTATTGTGCTGGCTCGGCAACCTGGTCCCATTTACATACGACACCTGAAATATAGAAATATATAAGTTATATCGACAATATCCAAGTATGAACTTTATATATAAGTCATAATTTATTAATTACCATGAAAATATCTTAATAATTCATCTACGTATCTGACTCTTCATCAGAATCAAAATGGGAATGCACATCATCATCTTCTTCTGAATGGACATACTCCACTTGTGCCTCATCATTGTCATCGCATATGAAATCATCAATGTTATTGTCTTCTCTGCTGCCCCAATGGACAATCCGATCTCTTGGAATGATTTCTGGATGAAGATCAGTCCTATGAAGTTGACCTATTTCGTTATCTTCGACTACTATAGGAGCAACCTCTGTTGATTCATCCTATTGGAATGCATCACTTGGAACATATGATTCATTTTCACTAACTCCTATATCTTCCAACTCAAGAACATCTCATATTCCTCGATGATGTATGTGTTGCACAACTTGCCAATCCCTACCCAATTTTGTATCATTAACATAAAATACTTGTTTCACCTGATCAGGTAGGACAAAAGGGTCATTTTGATACCATCTACTTTTCACATTAATGCTTGTAAAATAAGCATCAGTCTGAACTGTTTTCCCACTACCAAGGTTGAACCATTCACATTGGAACAAAAAAATACTATGGCCAAATATGTAACTCATCTCTCACACCTTATTTAAGTATCCGTAGAAGTTAATTGTTTTGTTATTATGTTCTTCTTCTACAACTACCCCACTGTTTTGGCTTTTTCGACGATTATCACGCTCTTTAGTGTGGAACCCGACACCATTGCATATTGCCCCAGAATGCAATTTTATTGTCACATCAGGACCGTTTGCTAGTGACCACAATTCATCAGTTGCTTCATGTGACCCTTCGCCTCGTAACTGATTCATCTACACACATGCATATGAAAGTTTTTATGGTTTTACAAACTAATGCAAATAATGCTTATAATCTAAATTTGTATAGCTTACACGTTTTGCAAACCACTTGTGAAATTCTACTTGGTGGCGACGAGTGATGTCACCATTTCTTTCCAACTCTAATATATTTTTGTGTTCCCTACGTATAAAACCATAAATTTGACACATAAAATATTTTAAACAATTACAAAGTACAATAAGAATGCTCACAAATATGTATATTTAACATACACATACTCTAGATAGGGATCTAGTTTGGGACTATTATGTAGGACAAACCAATGAGCCATCTTTCGTTCCTGTTGAGAGACCTCAGTTGCTCTTATAATTCGCCCAAAAGGACGAACATTTTGGGTGAACACAGCTAACTCACGCACATTTTCAACTCAATCTGCATTTCGTTCCTCACGATTAAAAACTGTTTTGATACCAGTAAGATACATCGAGCAAAAGGTAAGACATTCTTTGACAATATAGGCCTCTGCAATTGAACCTTTTGGACGAGCTCGATTACGAACATATCCTTTTAAAGTTCCGAGATACCTTCAATAAATCACAAAACATATAAGGAGATAATAACAAAACCAAATGAGAAGCTAATAACAATTTAAAATATAACCTTTCCACTGGGTACATCCACCGATACTGAATTGGTCCAATAATCTTAGCTTCCCTTGGCAAGTGAACTGCTAAATGCACCATAACATCGAAGAATGCTAGTACAAATATTTTTTCTAACTTACAAAGAATAAGTATTATGTTATCTTGTAGTGCATCCTAGTCTTTTACCATCAATGTCTTTGCACAAAGTTGTTGAAAAAAAATTTTCAGCTCAAATAAAGTGATACAAATTTCCTTGTCCAAGTAACCACGAATTCCAAGTGGAACAAGTCGTTGCAGTAGAACATGACAATCATGGCTTTTCAGTCCTGATACCTTACCAACCTTTGTGCTCACAGACCTCGATATATTTGCTGCATATCCATCTGGATACTTAACTGGATTCAAAAATTCACTGAACCCTTGTCTTTCTTTTGGAGACAAAGTGTACCACGCAGTTGGTTTTACATATGACTCTCCATTCTTTTGGAGGTGTAATTCTTTTATGATATTTAGGTCCTCCAAATCCAAACGAGCTTTATTTGTGTCCTTATTCTTGCCATCAATACTCAACAATGTGCCAAGCAAACTATCACATATATTCTTCTCTATATGCATGACATCAAGGTTGTGTCGAATCTTAAGCACATGCCAACACAGTAACTCAAAAAAAATACTCTTCTTTTTTCAATTCAGTTCCTCAGATAACCACTTTCTTTTTCGATTGTTTGGATGTTTCCCAAATTGCACATTTGGTAAACACTCCAATTGATCTATAATATCTTGCCCCAATAACTCAGAAGGTTTTGAATTTTTCTCAATCTTACCATTAAATAACTTACTTCGTCACCAGCTATGATCTTGCGGCAAGTAACGATGATGGCTTGTGTAGCCTATTTTGCTTCTTAATGGCTGTGATAATGCATCAAAATTACAAATGGGGCATGCCTTGTAACCTTTTGTACTCAATCCAGATAGGTTACCATAAGCAGAAAAATCATTTATGCTCCACATCAGAGCTGCACGCATTTGCAATGTCTGTTTGGTACA